GGCACAACAAATGAGGATATCAAAGCCAGCCAGGATCGGAAAGGCGGAAAAGATACTCATCACTCTGAAATCAGCTTGGAAATCTTCTGCACACCGCAGCATAAAGAACAAAATTGTGATTTTCAACACCAATGTTAAGTCGGTCAGTTCTTCTACATGGGTCAACAACTGCCCCCTTCGCTGGTTCCATATTGAAAATCAGATGAATAGTCAGAAGCGGTGAGCAACCATAAACTCTTGGAAGGAACTAACCAAGATCCAGTTGTTCAACAAATATGTGGAGGAAAATGGAAATATACCGGACATACGCTTAGGAGACTATTAAGTGATATCTCGCGCCAGGCCATCGCTCAAATCGGAGGGTGATGTGGAGGTGGTCGTTTGAGGAGGAAGAGGAGGAGGTAAAAGCTTATGGACAATCATCGGGCCAGCTGGATAGACTTCTGAGAACGAGACAACGTGGAGATTCGCTGTCAAGGTGCTATGTTCCACTCGGAACCCAAGGGAATAATAATAACAATAACGATATTATATACACCTTGGAATAGTGAAGTCAACCCATTTCTTAGGACCCAGTTAGCAGAGGAAAGATTTCTTATTCAACACATGGTAAGTCACACTTCTTTATGCAACACAGCTGAAGATATTATCAAGTTAACGCACAGAATGAGAGAAGATAAAGCAGGGTTCGAACCTGTGACACACTGACATGAAGTTACCTAGATATTGTCTGTGCATGCACATATAAAACAGGCTAAATCCAATAATCAAGACATACAACGCAATCCAGTGAGGCAATCAACATTGTTCTTCAGTATATATGTCTATTCAAAAGATCAAAATGATAAACCATATCTCTAATGTGAAATAAACGACGAAAGTACCTAGAAAATCAGGGTACATTTAGCAAACAAACATGTACTTGTAAAGGCATATATTTTTAAATTATTAATACTACTATTTTTCGATGAACGCTGAAAAGGCCAGGTATTGTCAGCATATTATTACTTTGATTAGTATTGTTTTGTTATTATTATAATTATTATTATATTATTGTTGCTGTCACGAAATTCGATGTCTATTATAATTATTCTTGTGCTTTCCAATGTATATTATAATATTTCGACTATACATATATTAAGTTGTAGATCTTTGTTTTTTTTAAAAGAACATCTCATTATATTGAAGACGATTTAGTCTCCACTCAGAATAATGTCATGCTTACTGCCCACGTTTTATCTGACTTTTCTCTTAATACAGAGAAAAAAGGTGAACACATCTTCTCTCTTTCTCTGATTTCTGTTCAGGTCCTGGGTGAGTACTGATGAGGAGTCCCACACTAGGATGAAACAGCTAACTGTCAAATACTTCCCCGCTGGTCTTCTAATGATTCCCTGACCGATGTCAACTCGTGATCAAACCACGTGTTAACATAATATTATCTAAGCATCGCGAATATAATGTTGAAAAATTGTGAAATATTTTATCTATTTATAACCACAAAGTAGAGAGCAGGTAAACTAACAACCCTGCAATTTTATACAGCCTACTGGTTTAGGCAATAATCTAGTTTCATTCAACAGAAATTATGTTTTGAAAGTATTGAAAAGCGAAGTGGTGTTACACTCCACTGAATGAACTGCTGAACTGCATTATCAATTTTTTATTATTATGACTAGACTGTATGCATGGGTTCCCGACCGATAACTTGTACCTTAACGTGGTGGTCGGGCTTGTATACAATCTACAGTGGCTAGAACTTATTTTCACGCAGGTTGTTTGCTTAGCGGTTAAACTAAAAGCAGGGCTCCAGAATCCAAAGAGATCAAATGTCATGTGAACCTGTATTGGTGGACACCGGGAACCATGTTAATGTAGCTCCTGACACTGTTAGGTTACTTTGTGTATGCGACTTCAAGTCAAAGTCTTGGAATGCGGAGGTGGTCTCTTAACACAGCCGCCTGCTTCGATCTGGGCACACAGACAGTATCTCAGCCGACTATACTAACAGTGAGACAATGCATGTTTACTGATGCGTTTACGCATACAAATGCGGTACACTACTCAGTAAAGCCAAAGATGGATGTTCTGAATTATGATTCTTCGAATAATTGATTTCAAAAGCCCAAAGCCTTTAAGATCTCAATTATTAAATAGTCCTATCAATTCACTCGGTATAAATTTATTATAAGCAATGATACTATGGGGCTGAAAAGTAATAAATAATAGGTGATCTCTGTACAATAATTCTATTTCTTTAGAATCAACTTTTATCGCGTACTATTAGTACTATTGTAACAGCAGTAGGGAAGACACCGAAGTCAAGGTATATTTTCAAGTGATCAGTGAGCTTGTGATTTCGGCGGCTTACATTAAACGATATGAAAGAGAATGTTCAAATATATATATATATATATATATATATATAGTATTCTGTCGCCACTGTCGTAGACAACTGTGGGTAAATGTGAGAATAATATTCCGTTGGAACCCATTGTCTGTATCACACCACCACACTATCACCTAACGACCTAAATCTAATTTAAAAAATAGGTAAAGTGTCAAGGTGATTGAGCACATGGTTGAAAATTAACTACAAAATTCAACATTATTATATATATATAACTAGCTGATATAACGGAATGTTACTGGTTTATGCGGTTGTCGTCTAACTTGACACTTTGGCCAACCACTGATCACTGGAAAATATTTCCAGAAACTCAGATAGACACGAAAGTTAGATTTGACTGCGATAACCTCAACAACAACAACAACAACAACTTGTCCGTTTAGAAAACCACGGAAATTTAAACCACAGATAACTATCTGATCAATATTTGATTGATCATATGACCTTGAGGACCTTCGAAAAATAAATAAATCAATCAAAAACTACCAAATCATATTATCATGTCGGTGTATGCATTAATCATGACTTTTTACGGCTAACGACGAACGATAGATTTCCCGACCTAACTAACACTAGATTTTCAATTAGGGGACTGCTTGAAGATATTTGTAGGTCTGAATACCTGCCGCCTACGATACTATCATTTCAAATGAATGCTGTGTACTATGGTTCATAAGGTATACTAAATATCAGTGTGTATGTTTCTTCGCCAAATAACATCATTTAGGCAAAAGATTCGTGAACAGCTATTTTGTCCTACTATGAGACGGTACCACGCATGACCCCACACACACCTAAGAGATTCCAGTTATGAGGCCAAATTTATCAGCAGTGGTTCTTTGACTGATATCATCGTTTGGTGTCAAAATCTTCATTATGAAAATGTAGTAATCAAAAATGCCTTTCCCAAATAATTCTGTAAATCATGTTAAATTTCACTTCCTGTGAGATAGATGATTGATGATATAGTAGTAATATTTGAATACCTTTAACCTAGATAGGATATAATTGAAACAAGTGATGTTGTACTCGTCATGTGAAATAACAGGGGGATGAAGGCGGTTGGAGTGATAGGGCTGGTATGTATCTTGAACAACAATCGTACATAATTGTTCATCATGATTATCATCATAGAAAATTACAAAGTAATAATTCTCTAAATAACTAGTTGCGCCCTAACACATGACATCAAAATAGATTAAATAAATAAATAAATAAATAAAGGCGATTGAGATAAGAAATCAAAAATCATACTCATCATGGAAGAAAACTAAAAAAACCCTGAAAAATAAATAGAAAGAAAATAGGCACAGCACGAACGACGATGAGGAAGAGAAGGGGAATTAAGGCAGTTAGACATCTATAAGTGTAGTGTCGAAAGCTGATTGTGAATACGCATTCCTACTACGCCTGTGAAAAGCAACAACTTGGCAGAAGAAGCATCAAAGATACGACTTCAGGTGAACATAAATAAAACAGAGGTGATGACGATTCCTGGCTAACAGACAACAATCAGCCAACACAAATGGGAGGAACCTGAAAGAAACAAACAACCTCCTTCACCTACCTGAGGAGCATCGTTTCAACTACAGTCAGACGGAATTGACGAGGATATCAAACCAAGAATCGGAAAAGCAAGACAAGCTTTCATTACTCTCAACAAGTCTGTGTGCAGGTCAACAGCACTCAGCATCAAAAACAAGATCCGGATTTTCAACTCCAATGTGAAGTCAGTGCTACTTACTATATGTACGAATCAGAGACTTGGCGCCACGTCATAAAGAGCACCTCAAACAAACTACAGACCTTCATCGACACTTGTCTTCGCTCAATACTACTCAAGATCAGATGGCCGACCAGAAAAGATCAGCAATGGTGAGGGATCTCTGGCAATGAGCGAACCAACCCAGCAGGAACCGATTGTGAAACAAATAGGCGGGAAGAAATGGAGATGGATTGGCTGGCCATACTCTGAGAAAACAAACCATCAAGTGAGTGACATCACTAGACAAGCCATCGGTCGAGTGGAACCCGACCGAAGGGGAAGCGGCGAGTTGGTCGTCAGTGTGAGGGTGACATGGACGAGGAGGAGGTGATGTGAAGATGAGATGTAAGCATGCGGGAGGCAAACTTGGAGGTGGGGTGAAAAAGTTGGCAGAAAATCGAACGCAATGGAGATGCGCGGCTGAAGCCCCATGTTCCTCTAGAAACTAAAGGATAAAATAATAATAATTCTTACTACGCCTAGTACAACAATAGCTACTACCACTACTACTACTACACAATTACTTCCTATTCAACAGAAAACCACACAAAAAAACTTTTCTACGTCTGACATAGATATATTTATAGTTAATTCTAGTCGACTTATATTTATACATAGATGACTGTGTATACAATAATACAGGGTGAACAAGGTAATAAGGCATAGTAACACGATTGTATGAACGGATGGACGGATGGACAGGTGTTCTATAACAACAATGAATGACAAGTTCATACAACTAAAACTACAATTACAAAAAACAACTAAAACAGTACTCTACTCTATTCTACTCTCCGCTTACACCTTTACAACACAATCTTGTTGAAATATAACAACAATAATATGTGGAGAAAAAAAACCAAGGCATAACTTAAAAAACACTTTTGATGATAAAGTGTTTCAAAGGACACCAGAAATAACAAAAAAAAGTAGACAGAGAGAGAGAGATGAGAGGTAAAAGGGGCAAGAAATGGCGAGAGACACTAGAGAGAGAGAGAGAGAGAAATTCACATGCAACAGAACACTCATATTGCCAAGTACTACTACTACTACTACTATGACTTCTACTCTGGTTGTTATTATCCTATCCCGGTTACCAATTCTAACATGGATAGAATGGAGAAACGGAAATTGGCGGTCATATATAAGACGACAAGAAACAAGAAAAGAAAGAGGAAGAAGAAGAAGAGAAAAAGAATGAAAGGGGAAACAAACAAACAAACAAACAGACCAACATTAAAAGGGAATAGAACAAATCCCGTTACCATGGTTAAGCATCAAAAACATATTTTAATTCACTCACTCATTCACTCAACCAGTCAGTCAGTCATTTACTACTTATTATTTATTTGTTTATTTATTTATTCATTTATTGAATTACAGACGACAACCAGAGGGGATACAGGTAACTTACAATAGTAATAGTAATAATAATAATAGTAGTAATAATATTGTGGGGAAAATACACACGAGGAGTAACACAAAGAAATATAAAAGGCATTAATTATGTAGTAGGCAATAATAATAATAATTTAAAAATGCATATTATTTCTTAACAGAGAAGAGGCAACAAAGGCAAATACCTACCTACTTACTTGCTTAAAAAAGCAGTCTAACCCAGAAGAGACAGACTTAAGGAAAAAAGAAAGAAACAAAGAGAAAAAAATATGGGGTGAGGGGGGGCAGAATTGTAGATTGAGGCGATGAAAGTATACTGTGTGGAAAGGTATCAGAAAAGAAGGAGTAGAAACCTACTTTAAGGAAAAAGGAGAAATTTATAAGGAAATGACATAAAAGATCAAAATAGCAGATCAAAGAGTGTTATACTTCTCCAATAATGAGTAAAACAGAAGAGATTGGATTACAGAGAGAGAGAGACAGGATATTTAGGCGAACACTTAAAAATGCAAGCAACATGTCATTATTACTATTACTGTTCATTCAACGAAAGCAGAATGGACAACATCCAATAAAAAAAAAGAGAATCACGTTAGTTATCAGTTACGTAGGAAGAAATTCAGTCAGATAACACAATATCAGTGCCTCCGTGGCATTACAGTTAGGACGCCCGCCAGCCATGCACATGGTTCGGAGTTCGATCTCCGGCCACAGGACGCACTCCGCCTTTACCTCGCTAAGCCAGAAATAATACTGGTAAATAGGAAAGGTTAACCAATGCTACAGAAACTTCAAGCCACTAGCTTGAAGCCCTGTGTTCCACTGGGGAACGTGAATGAAAAAAATAAGAATAAAACACAATATCAGTGTCATCGTAAACTTGAAACTGTGCAGGAAAAGCGAAGGAAGCAATCCGATTATTACTAAAATTACCAAAATAAACAACTCTGTTTGAGCCTTATATTGTTTAAACTATGAGCTATACATATTTGCAGTCCAAGAGTTGATGATACGACACAACTGATCAGACTAGCATATGTGTGGAGAGTGACTTAAACCTGTGATTCCCACCGAATGCTTAAGCCAATAAATTACACCATTATTATTATTATATCCTTTAGTTCCTAGAGGAACATAGGGCTTCAACCGCGCGTCTCCATCACGTTCGGTTTTCTGCCAACTTTTTCACCCCACCTCCAAGTCTGCCTCCCGCATGCTTACATCTCATCTTCACATCACCTCCTCCTCCTCCATGTCACCCTCACACTGACGACCAACTCGCCGCTTCCCTTTCGGTCGGGTTCCACTCGACCGATGGCTTGTCTAGTGATGTCACTCACTTGATGGTTTGTTTTCTCAGAGTATGGCCAGCCAATCCATCTCCATTTCTTCCTGCCTATTTGTTTCACAATCGGTTCCTGCAGGGATGGTTCGCTCATTGCCAGAGATCCCTCACCATTGCTGATCTTTTCTGGTCGGCCATCTGATCTTGAGTAGTATTGAGCGAAGACAAGTGTCGATGAAGGTCTGTAGTTTGTTTGAGGTGCTCTTTATGACGTGGCGCCAAGTCTCTGATTCGTACATATAGTAAGTAGCACTGACTTCACATTGGAGTTGAAAATCCGGATCTTGTTTTTGATGCTGAGTGCTGTTGACCTGCACACAGACTTGTTGAGAGTAATGAAAGCTTGTCTTGCTTTTCCGATTCTTGGTTTGATATCCTCGTCAATTCCGTCTGACTGTAGTTGAAACGATGCTCCTCAGGTAGGTGAAGGAGGTTGTTTCTTTCTTTCAGGTTCCTCCCATTTGTGTTGGCTGATTGTTGTCTATTGTTGTTGCTGTTGGCCATCTTCATAGAACTAATTAATATCCCTGAAGTAACTGTTACTGTAAAGGATAGACAGTGAACGAATATGAACCAAGTCACTTCGAAATGATTTATTGTAAAGCCGTTGCATTCTTATTTTCATTACAACTGTGAAATGATTTCACCATTCTATATTCACAGATTGCATATTCACATTTATTTTTTGGTAGAAAAATTGAATATACGGTCACCATTTTCTTAGTATGGCTATTACAATTTTTTATTTGTTTCCCTGTGTTCATGTGTGAATGAACTCCACCCCCTGATAGAATAGGCTCGATTGATTATACCAGTAATATATTTTCTTTATCAAATTAAAACTTCATTTAGAACTTCATTTTATTCATATCTTGACTTAGGCTATACAATAATTTTTATGCTAAGGTACCATAGGCTACCAGTTTGATCACGATTTTGTGTCAGTTAGAGGACCAATAGAAAACCAGCAGATAGCAGTGGACAACTATTTCATTCTAGTCAATGATTGACTTCGGAAATACGCACCCAATGCGGTTCGAACCCAGGACCTCCCCGGGGTTACAAGGCGAGCTCGTAGAACATTCAGCAACAACTTATTGGCCAAACCAACTTCTGCCAATTACCGATGTATATAATATATAGCGTAACCGCCAGCCAATGTTATAGGTGAGTAATTGTTCTCTTATCTCATTAGGTGGACCCTTGTGGGTGAGTACGGATGAAAGGTCCTAAACTGAAAGGAAACAGTCCTTCCTGTTGGTTCTCCAGTGGTTCTCTAACTGACGTCAACTCGTCGTAAACAAAAACCAGTAATCAGGAGTGTGTCGGTGGCCGGGAATCGAACCCCAGACCATCTGAGTGGCTGGCAAGCATTCTACCTCAGCGCCACCAACGTACAACATAGAGAATATTTTTATTTTTGTTATATCATGGAGTAAACTCTATCCATATCATTATGACGATTAAAAAAAGAATCCAGCTAAAACACCACACACACACACAGAATTATACACACATGAACGCTTATATATATATATATATATATATATATATATATATATTACTAAGGCAAACAAAAAAATGCATAGGATATTACTTTTTTAGATCTACAACGGAGTAAACAGAGAGAAAGGGGAGGGAGAGAGAGAGAGGTAATCCTACAACGCATTATATGCATATCTTTTTAATCGATTATCTGTTACGTTCATCTATGTTATACCCGAGTAAATGTATGCATTAATACATTAATTTATACGCACATATACACTCATACACACTCACACACCCACACACAATATGTTTATATGTTGTAAAAATATATGTAAAATGTCCCATTATATCTTCTCACTTAGATGTCAATGTCTGATTGATGAATGCATGGATGAATGGATGGATGGATAGGTCCTTTTAGTGCTGCTGATGGTCATCTAGTGATATGCCATAGAATAATAATAATAATAACAATAACAATAATAATGGTAATAGGATTAATAATACTAAAGCCAGCATCATCATTGAAGAACAATGAGCAATAAATAAAACGCAGTGAGTGAGTGAGTGAGTGGCTGTCAAAAAAGTATAAGAAGAGGGGAAAGGGAGAACATTGGAAAAGTAAGTAGTGATAAAAGAGGAAGACCAACCCGAACGAAAGCTAAAGAAACCCGTGAACTTTGCCAGTGTTTGTGTGTGTGTGTGTGTGAGCGCGGACAAAAGAGCTTTCCTTTATATTTAACTGATAAAACGCCATATTTGATAATAAAAAACAAAACAAAAACAGAACGATGCCAAACATAGTAGCAGTAGTGTTAAATCAGCCAGCCCCATATACAGCGTAAAAGGCAGCATTAGTAACACGCGTAACATTGAGAAATAAATAACAAAAGTTTTGAAGATGAATAATAAATGTTTTTTAAGAAAATAGAAGAAAAAGAAGAAGAAGAAGGAAGAAAGCAGTTAAAACAGATACGAAGACTTCAGTTAAGGCGTAATATGATAATAAGAAGGATTTACTTTAAGACATAATGTGATGTGATGAATAGGTGATAAGATTCTACGGACATAAGAAGCGTAAATACATTAGTAGCCAGCTAATACATATACATTTTAAGAGTGAAGAGAAATTGATGAATATAATGACTAAGCCAATGCAAGCTAGAAACACAAAAGAACTCCAATAAATTAAGAGTAGTAGTAGTAGTAGTAGGGAGGTGTCATATGTGATAAGAGACAATCACAGGAGAGGATATATATAAAGTGATAATAATATGCATTGGATTTTTTGTTTTATTCCTTAACGTTCCCCCAGTAGAACATAGGGGGCTTCAAGCTAGAAGCTTAAAGTTTCTCTGGCACTGGTGATGGGATTTCAGCAAGGATCCAAAAAGCTCGAGCTGCTTTCGCTGACTTACGCCATCTGTGGTGTAGGCGTGACATCCGGCTATCAACCAAGGGACGTGTGTACTGCTCATCAGTTCACTCCGTCCTTCTCTATGGCTCTGAAACATGGCCAATACGCGTTGAAGACATAAAAAGGTTGACTGCTTTCGATCATAGATGTCTGTAATCTCTTCCTCACGTTAGGTGGTTTAATAAGGTAAGTAATGTTGACGTTAAGCGTAGAGTGTTGGACAAAGAGGGAAGATCAATCGACGAGGCTATAAAGTTACATAGATTGAGATGGCTAGGTCAGGTGGTGCGCATGCCTAACCATCGCCTCAACCACCCCGACGGGCATTATACTAGCTGATATAGGTGGTGCAGGCTGGAAAAGAGTATGTGGTGGCCAAACAAAAACATGGCCTCATCAATCCATGAAATCCTTGACAGTTAAATTGAGTCAGTCAGGTAGGGAGATGCAGACTTCCGGGTTGGGGCCCTCGGGACTGACTCTAAGAATCAATCAATGGCTGGAGACAATAGGTGACATGGCTCAAAATCGTTGTCAATGGCCAGCTCAGATGTATTCAGTCTCTGTAATCTTTCATATTCCTTTCTACCATTACCCATTCTGTTTCACTCTTATACTTGTCAGACTGTATTGATTCTCTTCACTCATCTTCTTGTCTACCTTTGTGTGGTATTTGGAACGTGGGAACTGGAACTGGTGCACTTTGGTGCCAAGTTCTATGTTGAATCCAGACATACAGGTGATGGGATTGCTAGCCTCATGCCCAACCTTCTCTCTTTACCCGTCT